ATCATGTACTATCATGTACTAGCATGTACTATCATGTACTATCATGTACTAGCATGTACTATCACATACCATCATGTACTAGCATGTACTATCATGTACTATCACATACCATCATTTACTAGCATGTACTATCATGTACTATCACATACCATCACGTACTATCATGTACTAGCATGTACTATCATGTACTATTATGTACTATCACATACCATCATGTACTAGCATGTACTAGCATGTACTATCATGTGCTAGCATGTACTAACATGTACTATCATGTACTATCACCTACTATCATATACTAGCATGTACTAGCATGTACTAGCATGTACTAGCATGTACTATCATGTACTGTCATGTACTAGCATGTACTAGCATGTACAAGCATGTACTAGCATGTACTCTCATGTACTATCACATGCCATCAGGTACTATCATGTACTAGCATGTACTATTTACAGCATGTACTATCATGTACAATCATGTACTATCATGTACTGGCATGTACTATCATGTACTATCATGCACTATCATGTACTAGCATGTACTAGCATGTACTAGCATGTACTATCACATACCATCATGTACTATTATGTACTAGCATATATTCTTATGTTCTCCTCCCACCTACGCCCCACGTTAGGTGCGGGCAATCTCTCCCTCTAGGAGGGAGTTAAGAAAGGCTCTGGGAGGCGGATCCTAGGGGAACCTACGTCTGGAATACGCAATAGGTGAGAGGGAGTAGGTGCTTCTGCAGTCTTGCAGTAACTGTTAAGTGAAAGAGAGAGTTTGTACCTGCCTTCCTTGGCTTGTGGGAGGGGCATTGCTCCTACTGTACCCCTGCTGTACCCTGTCCTATACCCCCTCCTGTATCCCCATCCTTCACCTGCCCCTGAGGATGGGTTAATAACCCAGGTAAGCTAAAAGCCACGGTGTGAGGTTGGCTTATCACTGGGACTTTTATTCTCTTCCCCAGGATGCCACCCACAACAGTTAACTAACACCCAGGTACCTATTTACTGCTAGGTGAACAGTGACAGCAGGTGTAAGGTGACTTGCCCATACGTCTCACCCTGCCCAGGATGCCACCCACAACACTCAACTAACACCCAGGTACCTATTTACTGCTAGGTGAACAGTGGCAGCAGGTGTAAGGTGACTTGCCCATACGTCTCACCCTGTCCAGGATGCCACCCACAACACTCAACTAACACCCAGGTACCTATTTACTGCTAGGTGAACAGTGGCAGCAGGTGCAAGGTGACTTGCTAGATTTCAACCCTCTAAGGATGGAGGATAGTCCACCTGTCTGGGTGGATAAGCGAATTATCCCACATTGAACTGGGATATCCATATCTCAGCTCTTGGGATAAGTTGATAAGGGCTTGGGATTCTTAACTCGGCCACTGAGACTATCTCCTGGGATGAGGCATGTCTTGCACAGCCGCTGGTGTCCCGTAGCTCGGTTGGTAGGGCACTCAATTCACACACTGAGTGTCAGTGGTTCGATCCCCGGTACGGGTGGAAACAATGGGCGTGTTTACTTAAGAAACCTGCTGTCACTGTTCACATATCAGTAAATATGTAGCTGGGTGTTAGTTACCTTACACCTGTTGTCACTTTTCACCTTGCAGTAAGAAGGTACGTGGGTGTTAGCCACCTTACACCTGCTGTCACTGTTCACTTAGCAAAAGTAGGTACCTGGGTGTTAGGTAACTGGTGTGGGTAGCATCCTGAGGACAACATTAACCTACGTTGCGGGAAATGCTCTACATAACCAGGAACTTTCTGTATAGTATGTCATTGGTGTCAGCTATGGTCTGTGTAAGTTGAACCATCTACTGCTGGAAATAAACATTATTATTATTATTATTAATCGGTAGAGACCTTCTTTAAACCAATCTGCCCAGACTTAAGGAATGAGGTATCGTCCCCTGAGCCATTGGGATGCGGCCGGGATGGCCCCTCAGGTGCCCTGAAGAATGCATCGGCGTCTGAACACACATCACGTCACAGGAGAAAGTTCTCACCGAGAAGCATTTGTTTTCTTCCTCGTTTTTCTCTCCTAAGACTCCCTTTTTCTGAAATCAGAGTAGGACCCAGGGAGTAAGATCTATGAACATGTCTTCTATAGGGGCTACTGGGCTTCGGGGAGGATAGGGAGAGATACTAGAGAGAAAGATATCTCTCCTAGAAGTGTCTCTAATCTTGATATCCCCGACCCTGGCGCGTTGTCAGGAGTAATAACCAAACTTTCACGCCGACGGTATATAAGAGAGCCTCACGTGGGTCGAAGCGTTTGTTTATATCTGGTCGCGAGAGAAGCAACAACCAGTGCCAGGACCCTGGCTCTGCCGAACATTTAACTTATAACATCACCTGTGTGGGGAAGTGCGCCTCAGAACTCTATCTTAATTGACAGTTCCAGGGGTTCCACAAGGCCCCGAGGAACCTGAAGAGGGTTTATTGGTTTTATTGCCTTAGCCCTGTCGCCACTATGAAGGTAAGACGCCTTTACTGATGGTAGTAAAGTGTTATAGGATGTCCTCAGGGATAATTGTATCCTGATGAAGGATTAGGATAATCACAGATAGTGATTATGTAGTTACTGGTGTAACAGTGCTGAATATCAGTCATTAAGTGATTAAGTAACTCTGCAGTGGTAAGGGAAACCAAGAGGAGTATCGAGAAGGAAGGGTAGAGAGAAGGAGGGGTAGAGAGAAGGAGGGGTAGAGAGAAGGAGGGGTAGAGAGAAGGAGGGGTAGAGAGAAGGAGGGGTAGAGAGAAGGAGGGGTAGAGAGAGTGGAGGGTTAGAGAGATGGAGGAGTAGAGAGAAGGAGGGTAGAGAGAAGGAGGGTAGAGAGAAGGAGGAGTGTAGAGAGAAGGAGGGGTAGAGAGAAGGAGGAAGTAGTAGAGAAGGAGTAGAGAGAAGGAGGAGGTAGAGAGAAGGAGGGGTAGAGAGAAGGAGGGTAGAGAGATGGGGGTAGAGAGATGGAGGGGTAGAGAGATGGAGGAGGTAGAGAGAAGGACGGGTAGAGAGAAGGAGGAGTAGAGAGAAGGAGTAGAGAGAAGGAGGAGTAGAGAAAAGGGAGGGGTAGAGAGAAGGAGGGGTAGAGAGAAGGAAGGGTAGACAGAAGGAGAAGTAGACAGAAGGACGGGTAGAGAGGAGGAGGGGTAGACAGAAGGAGTAGAGAGAAGGAGTAGAGAGAAGGAGGAGTAGAGAGAAGGAGGGGTAGAGAGAAGGAAGGGTAGACAGAAGGAGAAGTAGACAGAAGGACGGGTAGAGAGGAGGAGGGGTAGACAGAAGGAGTAGACAGAAGGAGGGGTAGATAGGAGAAGGGGTAAAGAGAAGGAGGGAGTAGAGAGAAGGAGGGATAGAGAGGAGGGATAGAGAGATGGAGAGGTAGAGAGATGGAGGAGTAGAAAGAGGGAGGGATAGAGAGTAGGGGTAGATAAAGTCATGTGTACTCAACTAATTACTCACCTAATTGTGGTTGCAGGGGTCGAGACTCAGCTCCTGGCCCCGCCTCTTCACCGACCGCTACTAGGTCCTCTCTCCCCCTGATCAATGAGCTTTATCATACCTCGTCTTAAAACTATGTATAGTTCCTGCCTCCACTACATCGCTTGCCAGACTATTCCACTTCCTAACTACTCTATGACTCTGTGTGTGTGTGTGTGTGCAACTATGAATACACACACACACACACACACACTGGAGGACAGGAGGGTCAGGGGAGACATGATAACGACATATAAAATACTGCGTGGAATAGACAAGGTGGACAAAGACAGGATGTTCCAGGGAGGGGACACAGAAACAAGAGGCCACAATTGGAAGTTGAAGACACAAATGAGTCAGAGAGATAGTAGGAAGTATTTCTTCAGTCATAGAGTTGTAAGGCAGTGGAATAGCCTAGAAAATGACGTAGTGGAGGCAGGAACCATACACAGTTTTAAGACGAGGTTTGATAAAGCTCATGGAGCGGGGAGAGAGAGGGCCTAGTAGCAACCGGTGAAGAGGCGGGGCCAGGAGCTAGGACTCGACCCCTGCAACCACAAATAGGTGAGTACAAATAGGTGAGTACACACACACACACACACACACACACACACACACACACACACACACACACACACACACACACACACACACACACACATAAATTATTCAAACACTACTGACACAGACTTAACAAAGGTCTTCAACAGATGTCACTATAATGTATTAGCTCACAAAATCTATGTAAAACGAACACCTGTTAAACTGGGCAGACAGATATTTAACCACATAACAAATATCACCCAGAGAGCAGCAGTGAACAGTGAAGTCAGAGGCTGACACAGTGACAAGTTGTGTTCCTCAAGGCACTGTACTCGCCCCACCTCTGTTTCTCATTCAGTGTGTGACATAGAGACATCAACGTGTGTGACATAGAGACATCAACGTGTGTGACATAGAGACATCAACGTGTGTGACATAGAGACATCAACGTGTGTGACATAGAGACATCAACGTGTGTGACATAGAGACATCAACGTGTGTGACATAGAGACATCAACGTGTGTGACATAGAGACATCAACCACAGCGCTGTGCCATCCTTTGCTGGTGATACTAAAATCAGTGTGAGAGTGTCAGCCACAGAAGACATAGTGATCCTCCAAGTTGATATAAGTCAAGTCTTCCAGTGGACCACTGATGTAAGTCAAGTCTTCCAGTGGACCACTGATGTAAGTCAAGTCTTCCAGTGGACCACTGATGTAAGTCAAGTCTTCCAGTGGACCACTGATATAAGTCGTCTTCCAGTGGACCACTGATGTAAGTCAAGTCTTCCAGTGGACCACTGATATAAGTCGTCTTCCAGTGGACCACTGATATAAGCAAGTCTTCCATTGGACCACTGATATAAGTCAAGTCTTCCAGTGGACCACTGATATAAGTCAAGTCTTCCAGTGGACCACTGATATAAGTCAAATCTTCCAGTGGACCACTGATATAAGTCAAATCTTCCAGTGGACCACTGATATAAGTCAAATCTTCCAGTGGACCACTGATATAAGTCAAATCTTCCAGTGGACCACTGATATAAGCAAGTCTTCCAGTGGACCACTGATATAAGTCAAGTTTTCCAGTGGACCACTGATATAAGTCAAGTCTTCCAGTGGACCACTGATATAAGTCAAGTCTTCCAGTGGATCCACTGATATAAGTCAAGTCTTCCAGTGGACCACTGATATAAGTCAAGTCTTCCAGTGGACCACTGATATAAGTCAAGTCTTCCAGTGGACCACTGATATAAGTCAAGTCTTCCAGTGGACCACTGATATAAGCAAGTCTTCCAGTGGACCACTGATATAAGTCAAGTCTTCCAGTGGACCACTGATATAAGTCAAATCTTCCAGTGGACCACTGATATAAGTCAAGTCTTCCAGTGGACCACTGATATAAGCAAGTCTTCCAGTGGACCACTGATATAAGTCAAGTCTTCCAGTGGACCACTGATATAAGCCAAGTCTTCCAGTGGACCACTGATATAAGCCAAGTCTTCCAGTGGACCACTGATATAAGCCAAGTCTTCCAGTGGACCACTGATATAAGTCGTCTTCCAGTGGACCACTGATATAAGCCAAGTCTTCCAGTGAACCACTGATATAAGCTAAGTCTTCCAGTAGACCACTGATATAAGCCAAGTCTTCCAGTGGACCACTGACATAAGCCAAGTCTTCCAGTGGACAAACTTCGGTTATTTTGCCAGGGGAAAATAAAGGAAATAAAATAAGGACAGAGTACATGACCAACTCAAACCACTCAATAGAACGTAAGTCAAGTGTGAGAGACCTGGGAGTGATAATGTCAGAAGATCTCGCCTTCAAGGATCACAACACTGTTATTATCACAGCTGCAAGGAAAATTATACAGTGGATAACTAGAACCTTCAAAACAAGGAATGCCAAGCCAGTGATGACTACTGGTCACTGGTTCTCTCTAGGCTGGAGCACTGCTGTGTACTAACAGTGAAAAGAACCTTCACAGCTAGTATAAGCTCAATCAAGCACCTAAATTACCGGGAACACTTGAGGTCCTTATACCTGTACTCCTTAGAACGAAGGAGAGAAGGATACATCATAATCAACTCCTGGAAGATGCTGGAGAGATCGGTACTAAACCTGCACACCGAAATTACTACTTAGGAACGCAAGAGGCTTGGCAGACGGTGCAGGATACCTCCAGTGATGAGTATACCTGGAGTATACCTGGTGTATACTCCAGGTATAGCGATGAGAACACCTGGAGTATACCTGGAGAGGGTTCCGGGGGTCTACCCCCCCGCGGCCCGGTCTGAGACCAGGCCTCGTGGTGGATCAGGGTCTGATCAGCCAGGCTGTTACTGCTGGCCGCATGTAAACCGACGTACTAACTACAGCCCGGCTGATCAGGTACTGACTTTAGGTGCCTGTCCAGCCGAGAGAGAACTCAATGAGTGTAAAGGGACCACGACTCTTCAACACCCATTCTTCATACCCCCTGGCTGTCTTGATGAGGGAACTTGTTAAGGTCCTCAGATCAGCTGCTGATGAGACAGGCTATGGTGCATACATTGGAGCGCAGGCGATGGGCACTAACAGCCTGGTTGACCAAGACCTTTGGAAGCAACTAGTTACGGGTTCCTCTTTACTGATACATTTCTCAGGCACCTTTCCTACCCCCCCTTTCTATTCTTTCATTAATTTCGAGCCTCTCTCTCTCTCTCTCTCTCTCTCTCTCTCTTCTCCTCTCTCTCTCCTCCTTCTCCTCTCTCTCTCTCCTCTCTTCTCTTACTTTGCTGTGACTTTTGCTAGCTGTTTATTTTCCTATGTCAGTTGTGTGTCTTCTCTCTCTCTCTCTCTCTCTCTCTCTCTCTCTCTCTCTCTCTCTCTTCTCTCTCTCTCCCCACACCGTTCCGCCCTTGAACTTTGCTTATTTTCCCAACCCCCCAACCCTTTTCGATCCTTCATCATGTTCAATCAAGCTTCAGGTCAGCTTCAATCGCTTCATCTCTTCCAGAGACAGGCTCAAGATCGTTCGTCGCCATTAGATAACTTTAACCTTAGGATCAACCAAACCTCGCAGCCAAACAACTTTGTTAACAAAGATCCTTCAGTAATGTTCAGAGGATCAAGGCTTCAGAGGATCAAGGCTTCAGAGATCAAGGCTTCAGAGGATCAAGGCTTCAGAGGATCAAGGCTTCAGAAGATCAAGGCTTCAGAGGATCAAGGCTTCAGAGGATCAAGGCTTCAGAGATCAAGGCTTCAGAGGATCAAGGCTTCAGAGGATCAAGACTTCAGAGGATCAAGGCTTCAGAGGATCATGAACTGAGATTCCATTAGAATCAGTCATGGTGACTGAATGGGGAAATCTTCATGGGAGTTTCCTTGACTTCATGGGAGAAGGGTACCTCTGATTTCTTTTACAGTGATTTACAGGCCAGGAGCTGTTATTCAACCTTAGTTTATTTACAGG